ATTTTTCCACCTCCGCAATATCGCCAAACTCCGTCCCTCTCTCACCCGCCCCGTAGCTGAGCGACTCATTCACGCCTTCATCTCCTCCCGCCTTGACTATTGCAACTCACTCCTCTTCGGCATCAGCACAACATCCCTCAACAGACTCCAGTGTGTCCAGAACGCAGCCGCCAGACTCCTCACCCACACCAAATCATGGCATCACATCACCCCGGTCCTCAAAGAACTCCACTGGCTTCCCGTCTCACACCGCATTCACTAAAAACTCCTGGTCCTCACCTATAAAGCCCTCCACCATCTGGCCCCCCCCTACCTCACTGACCTCCTCATCCTCTACCAACCACCCCGGTCCCTCAGATCCACCTCAGCCGGTTTGCTCTCAATCCCCAAGGCCAAACTCCGGAGCTTCGGGGACAGAGCCTTCTCTGTGGCAGCCCCGAAGCTCTGGAACTCCCTCCCCCAAGACCTCCGTGAGTCTGATTCCCTCACCCTGTTCCAGTCCCGTCTCAAAACCCACCTCTTCAACTCTGCTTATCCTTAAACCCGCCCCTCCCCTCCTGAACCAACATCCTCCTGACTGCTTTTCTGTTTTTGTTTTGTTTTTGTTTTTGTTTCTGTTTTTGTTCTTGTTTTGTTTGTCGACCTGACTCATAATGTAAAGCGTCTTTGGGTCTAGAAAAGCGCTATATAAATCCCATTTATTATTATTATTATTACTTGTGCATCTAAGGGTTACAACTTTTAGATCCCAATAATTCACAGTATATAAGGGCTTGATAAGGCTAATGTTCGTACTGTAGTTGATTTAGCTAGAAAAAACTATAATGCTGATTGACATATGTCTCTTTCCCAATGCAATTCAATGGGAAAAAGTGGCGCAATGACGTCGCAGACTGACAATGAAGTTTTTGTATTGCCTTTGGCCAATACAAAAATTGGCCAAACGGCCCCCACCTTGTCAATCAATGTTTATTTATATAGCCCAATATCACAAATGTTAAATTAGTCTCAGTGGACTTCACAGTTTGTACAGAATATCAGTATGAAAATACGACACCCTCTGTCCTTAGACCCTCACATCGTACGAGCAAAAACTTCCAGAGAAAAACCCACAGTTTAAAGGGGTCAATGGGAGAAACCTCAGGGAGAGCAACAGAGGAGGGATCCCTCTCCCAGGACGGACAGACGTGCAATAGATGCCGTGTGTAAATCGAAAAGATAATACATTTACAACATAGTTATTCCAAATGGTTGGAAATGCATGTGTCTATAATAAGAAGATGAATCCATGAGGATGTCATCAATCCTGTGGGAGCCATCAGGGAAGTAGTATGATGAGAGTCAGGCAGGACCGCAGAGACAGGCTCAGCCACCACTCAAAGTCCAGGATTCAAATCCTGAACTCAGGATAGAGGATCCAGGACACAGGATCCAGGACTCAGGACTAAGGATCCAGGACTCATGATCCAGTACTCCGGATCCAGGACTCAGGATGCAGGATCCAGGACACAGGACCGCAGCAACAGGATCAGCCACGACTCATGATCCCGGCGTAGATAGATAGACACCAAAAAGAAATTTGGGGGAAGCTGGGCTATTCGGAACATGAGAGTACACAGGTACAGACAGACAGAAGAAAGAAGTAAGGTTTCCCCCGACAGTCTAAGCCTATAGCAGCAAAACTAACGTGTCTACGTACATGGACTCCCTTAGGATAGGTTGACATGATTGCACGTCTGTTTGTTTCTCAACCATTCTTTGAGTTGACCTTTCAAACTATTGAGAGTGAGACAATCCCATATCTCAGTTGGGAGGCTATTCCACAATGAGCTGCCTTTAATGGAAAGGACATTTTGTCCAAAAGTGGTCCGTCTACGGTGGACCTCACAGTCTCCTCTGTTTTCTGACCTAGTGCAGCGTCCAGTGTGTTTTTTGTGGATGAATTCCCCTAAGGGAGGGGGGGCCAGTCCATGTAAACATTTATAAAAAAAACACATACTTTTAAAAGACTTAAAACCTGACCCCTCTTCATCTCTTAAAGTGGAGATTTGTCACCAGACAATTTAGTTCCATCAAAAATAGAAATCAGAGCATGATAGCAATGATACAGGTGAAAAGAATCAGAAGTGGCTGTATCTCAACAACAGGCAGGAAATCTCTTTACTCTATTGACCATTTCCGAGGTCATTGACATTCTCATAGTCTAACTAGGCTTTCCGTCTAGATGTCATTAGCTTAATGTATCCATATCAAAATCAATTCCATCACTCATGCAATGAATCGACTTGCTGATCAATGTGATTGATTTGAGATATTGTCAGCTGGAATTATCACATCCATCTTTTACCACAATGAGGGTCCAATTGGGATTCCTATTGTTGCAATACCAAAATCAAATGTTGTATCAATATTTATAGATTAAATTACTTTTGTTCATATAAGTAGGATCTTGAAGCAAATACAACATTGAAGTAGTGATGTAAGAAATTGCGTTATTAAATGAATGAATTGGAATGTTACACAGTCCCTAATACTATATATGCCTTTGTCTTATTTTGTATTGGACTGGGTAATTTATTATTATTGCATTGATATTTTGATATGAGGCTAGTCTTAGGTTTACTATATCGTAATAACGTCATAAACAGTAAGTGTTTTCTTTGTCTGGTTTTAAAGGGTGAATTACAAGGGTGATGTGATTTTTCTATTTTTTTTTAATTATTTTTTCTTTATAGCCACGTAGTCATAATATCCCCAAATTCTAATTAATCTCAATTTGAAAATATTTTATGAAAGCACCAATAGTCAAACCAACAATATCGTCACAATGTTGATCTTGAGGTATTTGGTCAAAAATATAGTGATATTTTATATACTCTATCGGCCCGTCCTAACTTTTACTGTGTGTGGTCTTTGAATGTGCCATGATGATGCTCCCTGCTTAAACTGAACTCAGCACACAAACTGATTTCACTAACCTT